TGTAATTTTAAGGAATGGTCTTTACCAATAAAAAATCAATCAGAAAATCATTTCTCTATAATTCTTTGAAACCACTTCATCCAACTGCGGATGGGTATACTAAAGGCACTTTTGTAGACGTAATATTTCCCATGGTAATACCTTAAGCAAGTGTGAGTGACTAACTCCAACAAATAATAATCATTTCAGATGCAGTTTGGAACATTATATTTCAAGTGAAATTTTCAAATATTGAAGAATACCTTGCCAAATACAGCTTTTGGCATATTGATACCCCCCCTCCAATAAATAAACATCTCACTTTCACACATTCATAAGCACTCACACTGCACTTTGTTTTCTCTCCGAAAAAAAGGCAATATGGAAGAGGCATGATTGTTGCAGACGACAATGGGGTAAAACACAGAACAAAGACGAGTCCGGGAATCAACAAATCCAATAAAACAACTAAGGGGGAGGCATGGGATGCAAGGAGGGTGGATTGGGAAGGATAACGTGCATGTTGCAGTGACCCCACTACATTTTACTTCCTTTGCTATGCCTCTCAGGATGTGACCAAGATTGTGCAATGCAAAATGTGAATTGTAATGGTGTTTAAAAATGTTTGGTATGAGGTTGTACATTCCAGTGATAGAAATTTACAGCTTGAATAATTAAGTTTAAAATCCAATGATTTCTTTTATCAACCCCCCCCCTTCAGTCATCTTTCACACTAGGATCAAGAGTAGAAAGAATTATTTAAAAAGTAAACTTCAATTGAACCAAATTGAAAAGAAATTTACAAAATGGGTACAGCTGACCACAAGAGGGCAGATGCGACAGGTTGGAAGGAATCAGTTTGGTTGGGAGGAAGTGAAGGTAAAACAAAACAATTAATATTGTGGATTTAAATCACCATGTACCAAAGCCTTGATCCACCAGCTGAGGAAGAGTAAGAGAGAGCAGTCACATGACTAGGAACAGACAGGTCACATGATGGGAAGCCAGAGTCTTGGAGAAACATTCCTCTAAATTTAAAGACTCATTCAACAGCTGCTGTTAAAAGTCAACTAAAACCAACAAAAATAAAAGTGAAAAGGAAGTTCTGGTATGAGATAATCCATCTTGTTTGTAACACATTTTATTATCAGGCGTAATGGTATTTTGAGTTCAAACATGATACTTCAAATTTATTTGAAGATACGTGTATCCAGAAGTTAATACCAATTTTGTATGGCAAGAGGCCTCGTTGTGCAGACACCAATAATTACAACTTATTTAAGCAAATCCTATTATGAAATAGACATGCTCAAACAGCGCAGGTTTTTGTTAACCAAAACAGAATTTATCAGATTTCACACTTTCAATGGAAACTTTTGTTGACCATAACAAAATTTGTTTGAATTTGCACTAAACTAATTTGTAACAAGCCGACAACTTTACAGCAATGATTACAATGTCTGAAATTCTTTTATTGTTTAAAAAGATGGATTACCCACCAACTTCAATACTTCAAGCGTGTAAATTTGGGGTTAATAACGATGCAGAAAGGAACTTAAAGTGCTCATTGGCTGACCTGCTTGTGAATCACATGATTTTTTCCCCCAATCAGAGTAAAGTTCATGAATTCACTGTGTGAATCTTGTGTTACTGGTGGTTTGTTATCAAAAGGATAGAATGGCCGAGTTGGGCTTAGTAAGAATTTCGGAAAAATTAGAAATCTTTAATCTCCTTTGGAATTAGGAGCTGTAATAATAAAATTCCCAAATTGTGCAACAAATTCGGACAAGCTGATGATGATAATTATTTTGAGTTGCTGTTGCCAGACAATCAAAACACTGTAAATATTTATTTTTGTATGGCAAACACATTTTTGAGAAGTCGTGCTTTTCAAATGTGAAATTCATGCACTTTGCAAAGACATCACATAACAGACACATGCAGGTCACATGCTTTTTTTTCTTGCTTTCCTTTTCCCATGCTTCACATTTTAGCAAAGTGAAAACTATAAAGTTAAATTTTCATTTAAATTAAAAAAAAATTTAAACATGCCTATCAGATTTTGCATATTCATTACTTTACTAAACATATAGGACAATACCAAGCAATTTTACACGCAATCATGCACAAATTACATCGACAAAAATCATAATGTCAATGGCAAATGACTCAAATAAAACTGATGACATAAAACAAAGAAACAATACAAGTCAATCTCATGCATGGCAGATACAAAAAAGGAAAGTCTTGCTTTTCTTACATGGAACAAAAGGCTAAAATTAAAGATTTTAAAAACATGCAATACTTTCTGGTCCGTAGAGAAAACAAAGACAACAAGCTTACTTGTATGCTCAGCATGCACAATCATGCAAGGGGTCAGTGGAACACAAATCAACACCAGACAGTGAACATTTGCCAGTGTTAAGTCTTGTAAATAGGCCGCCAAGCATGACTGACGATATTTATCAGTCTTAAAGTTGAGAAACTGACCAACTTATAACGTGGCAAATGTCCACTGCACCATTTTCAGCAATGCAACATCAAACCAAATTATCATCTTGACACTTGTAGCCAGAATATAAGAAAAAGGCTCTTTTAAGCAGCATTTTGGGGGGAGGGGTAGGGGAGCCATAAGGATCCTCCCTAGAGGAGGCAAGCCTGGCATTTAATATTAACATGTTCCTCTCTTCGGTTCTGAAATCTCACATCAACATTGATTTCAAATATTTTTGCTTGAAATGTTTGAAGAAAGTTAAGAGACTGAAACATCTGATTGCAAATTTCTAGAGAACTTAATAAAAACTATCCATTTGTCAACTAAAGAAAATGAATGGAACAAGAGCTGTTAAAAGCTGCAGACAATGCTACAAATTAACTGAGAGAAACAAAGTCATTCAGCCCATCACAAGAGAAGTCAGCCGACTTCTGTACTGAACTTAACACAGACATCCTATCACAGGCCCCATAATTATTGAACCCCAAAAACTGCCGAGAAAAACTGCTGAGAAAAGCTCCTTCATTTAGCAAGGTGCTGACGGAGCAACCCTGGTAGAAAAGAAGAAAATCCTAAGTCCAGGGACTTTTCCTTGGTGTGCTGACCTTGCACAGCAGAGGTCCCCCCTAACTCCCCACAAACAGCACCATTACCTTTACCTTGAGCTCCTCCTTGAGTTTATTTTATTGGTTTATGCCAAGTCAGCAGGGTTGCAAAAAATGTTTCCTGATTGGTTCTTGGGCTGAGGTCAGGGGTCAGGGTTTGGGGATCCCACAATCTGTCCGCATTAATCATATTCCAGTTTAAGTGACAGGTTTAATTCGTTTCCTGTGCACTGAGCACATTGTCAGTGGGAATTCAAAAACCTGATATTTCCAAATGCAAGATCAATATTACCCTGTTTATTATGTGGTAAACCATCATGCTTCCACTTTGACTTACTGAGTTGAAAATATTTCAAGTCTAAATTCCAATATGAGGTGACTTAGGTAAGGGATTAGTGTTTTTCATAGGTGCTTGAACGTTTTTGAATGGGCCAGAAATATCCCCTGCAGAGCTCACATAGACACTTGTCCAAAAGAACAATCAACATCAAAACTACCCAGATGGTTGAAATACTTACAAGGTCAAGGGTCAAAGTAAAGCCTATCACAAGAATGTACAGAGGCCCCCCAAAAAGCTGATGCAGCTGAATTTTGCAGTATTCTAAATTCTTATTCAGGTTTACACAATATTTCTCAAACAAGCGAGTAGTGTATTAGAAAAGACTGGAACTGCATGCTTAAATTCTTTGCCTGAACAAAAATTCTCAAGGATTTCCCAAGATTTTCACAAGTTTCATATTTCTAGTTTGGAAAAGAAACATCGACCTGCTGCAACTGCTGAGCAAGCAGATTACTACTACCAGACATAAAAAGAGTGGGCGTCAGTGAATGAAATATGTCATAACTCCTCCCCCTCATGAATATACATGTAGCCACAGCCACAAGCAACAGTTAGTCTTCACTTCAGCACATACAATTCAAGCATTGTTTTACCACTGTGATCATGCCCTTAGTGATCAATAAAATCAATGTCTGCCTTGGTAGCTCTGTTTTGTCATCACATTTCTGCTAGAATCATGTCAGCCTCAATACACTCTCACTTAAATAACCCATTTCCTGATTAAGGAGCTTAGAACAGGTTGTCTCATGTTAGATTTGTAAGGAGGTAAATGTATGACTTTTAACTTGCTACATTTATATCATGATCTGATGGAAAGTAAAGTTTAAGGCTTTGCTCTTAAAAGATCGCCTGATTTCCACACTACACTCATTATGTAAACAAAGTGACAATAAATCCTTTACAGTCACATGCAAACTTGGCAGAAATAGGATACATTCTTTACCATTGCAATACAGATGTCATTAAGTACAAACTTCAATTTCTCTTCTCAAAACAAAATGGCCGACATCTTTGAGAGTGTTGACACATTATTTGCTGAAGACTTTTCTTAAAATTCCCTGAAAGTTTGTGCTTAAAAAGACAACAGGCTGATGATCAGGGTAAAGTAGCAATTGACCTCCATTTTTCCAACTGCACAATCCTACTGTCTATTTTGACAAACCACTTGTATATAAAGTCTACTGCCTAAGCTAGAGTATACCCAATCACACTTGGAATTTATGGTATCAAAGTTACTTCACAACACGAATAGTTATGTTTAACTTGCCAAGGCTTTTGGGGGAATAGGGGTTGTTGCTGAGGCCAGGGGAAAGGAAAACATGCAGATATAATTTTCCAACATCCCTCGAAAGACCAGGTTCTTTAAGCATGCAATTATCAAACGGTTTTAAAGCATTATTAACACAGAAAGTAAAGGATTATGGGGTGGATGGGTGTTTGACACACAAGTAAGCTCACTTCAACTTTTTTTTACATCATCATGCATGAGATTGATTTTTCACCAAATTCTGCCAAGCATTTTTATTAAAAAATCTGTTCTTCAGCTCTGAATTTTTCATAGACGGAAAAAGAACTGACTTACCTCTCTGAGCATTGGCTACCATGAAGAGGACAACAAAAACCAGAAGTAACCGCCTGTAGCGGGAGGTAAGTTCCACAAAGCTATACATGGCTGTACAATCTTTGTGGAGTGTTCACTTAAAACAATAACTGAGCGGCCTCAGTTCACTTCCCAGGCTGGGGCTCTCAGACACAGGGAAGCACCGCTGGGTTTTATCCCGCAATTATGGGATAGCTGACATGGGGGGTCACTCTTTGGACCAATCAGAGTTGCCCGATTTTCTCCGGGCACAAGGCTTGCACAGTGAAGACCGGGGCAGTGGAGCTAGCTGGGTGCAGTATGTTGCACTCTTTCAATCGAGAGACTCTACCAACTGGAGTCGAAGAGCAGAGCACTTGCTCTTGTTGCCCTTGTCAAGTCAGCAGTTCAGATTTGGCCATCTAGGCTATCTTGTCTTTCTATTACAGCTGATGCAATTCAACACTAATATGGAGTCCCATACTGTGTTTAGTGTGTTTAGATATAGATTAGTGACTCAGATTGTTTCCTCCTATGTGTCATTAAGGCATTACTAAAAGTAGCACATATGGTTCCCCAGATATTAGAGGATAAGATATTTAAAATTTAAAACAAACACAAACTGCTTTCAGACATTTTTGAACTTTTTTTTTCTTGTAAGTCATTTCTAGAAACTTGTCTCTTTAGTTGATTTTCTAATTTTGATACCCTAAAGTCATTTCCATATCAAGTGTGGTCTCATGTCATCATGTGTCATACTTATTGGCAGTCAATGAAAAACGGAAGTGGCTAACAGGACCCCCCTGAAATTTTTCTTAGGATGAAATTTTATGAAGCACTTCCATGTAACCTCTCGGCACTGTGAGAATACACTGTGGCAGTAGAATGCCCATTTCAATGGCAAGGAATGACCCCCCCCCAAAAAAATTGTGAGGGAAAAAGGAAAACGAGTACTGTTTTGCACTGGTTTTGTGAAATTTATTTCACCGTTTAGGTTTGCTGCTCATACTAGTCACAGACCAATTGAAAACAAAAGTACAAATTGGGTGGCAACAACTTTTGTGTTGATTGATTTCTGCAATTAGGAAGAAATAATATTTGTATGTCTCTTCTAATTAACTAGGTGTTTTAATTCTTTTTTAATTTCTTGAATTCAAAGAATTACCTCCTTCTAATTCCCAAAACAGATACGAGTTTGGAATGTGCTTGCTTTGATTCTGTGTTACTTTGAAATATAATTTTTGTTCTATTCTATTGTTTGAAACAATTTTCAGATATTTTATATGTGTAGGTTTTGTTCTCAATGTTCTTAGTTTAAATCATTTTAAGAACTTTTCTTTTTAAATAAACCATCACCAAAAATAAAGCATATCAGAATATTGAGTCATTTTATGAAAGTTAGAACTAGGTTATCATTTCATGAACATAGAAGTCCCTTAGTCTTCCTCAAGTTTTCAAAATCCCAGGGTAGTTCTTTCCTGGCCACGGAAGAGATAGAGGAATTTTGACATTGAAAAGCCACCACAGTCCATCATCCCCTGGCTACCCTGTTTGAACATGAGAACCCCCCCCCAAAAAAAAAAAAAATAAAAGACTGGCCTCTTTCTCGTTTAGACCAATCTATATCCCCAACCTTTCCCTGATGTGAAGCATTTTTCTCAAATTCCCTTCCTTTCTGTGACTGAAAAGGGAAAAAGTAATTTTCCAGGTTTTCCCTGATTTTTAGGATGACTTGTATGGAACCCTGCAGGAAGTCAGCCACAGAGTTTGTAGAAGTTAAAGTTTGTGGAACACTGGCCACTTTCCTCTTTTATCTGGATCCACCTGGATCCCGCATTCTGCTTGGACTTCTATGGACCAGGTTGAGGAATTTTAACTCAAATCTGCACAGGTCTGGACATCACAAGTCTATTCTCTGCAAAATACGCAGTTTCACACTGTGTGTTGAAGTGAACTGTTTATACATGTACATTTTTGTACATGTACAGAAATGTACATGTACACAGGAGAAACCAAAGTTGTGCATCAAACATTTACATGGGTGCAGTCAGTGACCACTCATTGAAAATGTCGAATCCAATCTTTTAAATGGATAAACCCAGCATTTTAAATATCACATATAAACAATTACAGAATTAATTCAACATTTTGAGTGTTTATTAAGTATTTTCCCTTGATATTTTCATTATATACAATATTGAATAAACAGTTTACTTTAATGTTGAATTTAAACTCTGCAATGTTGGATTTTACATTTGAAATGTTGGATTCAAAACTTTAGAAGAGTGATCACCGACAGTAATCTTATAAGTGTTAATCTGACCGTACTCTTGTAAGTGTTGGATTCAACACTTTAGCATATAGAAGGGCATGTCTGACACTGAAACCACTGTCTAGGGTCAGCATAAACAGATTCGTAATGGGAAAATGTAGGGTTTGGAACTGTGGATAATAAAATACCTACAATTATCTTTAGTATGTATGACTATGTCTGAAATTCTGAGTTTCAGACACTCTCCTGACATTCAATTCCTTTGATTCATGTAAGAATTCTTGTGTCAGAAGATGTTGAGTTTCAGCTATCTGTGCATCTTTAATTAGAACTGGAAAAATTTCAATGGAACACAACAAGTCTGATCATTACTGAACATTTAATTTGACCTTTTACGAAACTCTACACAAGTTGCCAGTTTTTTCACGGGTGGGCCATATCATATAAGGCAATTCGAAAGTGACTGCACTGGGAAAACTTTACTTTGATATCATTTTGTGAAGAATCATCTAAAATTGGAGAGGGAACATGATCTTTATTCTAACTCAGTTCCTCAAATCAGTTACAATCATATCTGGATTCAAATCAAGTCCAAGGACAAGAAAGTCCATTGGATGTTTCTCGTATGGACATCAACTTGTAATCCCTCTCAACATGGTCAAAGCAACTACTAAACATATACATATGTAAGTCAGTATTCCACTGCATCAAATCCTCCTAGAGCTCAATAATTCAATTTCCTTCTACCTCTCATAACGACATATTCCTCATCAGACTTGAACTTGAAGGCATTCACATGGGACATTATGGGCTGCCACTTAACTTGCAAGGAAAGGAAAGTAATCAATTTGATTGATAAAACACGCCTTTTCTTCTGCTTAGATTGCTAAGTGAGCAGAATTTGTGGCCATAGCCCGTTCTCTTGAGAGCTTGTCAACTTTTTTTTTTCTCCCACTTGCTGAATCGGCCATTTTGATCTTGTTCTTTTCATTGCTCTGGTTTCAGCTGTTCAACCTTACACCTGACCTTGAGAGGAAAATGACAGCCCAACTAGCAGGGAACACATCTGAATAAGAGGCCTGTGCAGAGGGTATTCTTGGCTATCTATGGCTATCAGTGAAGATGTGCTAGTGATGTACTAAAATTAATCGAGGATTGGATAGTAATTTAAATACACACTTACAAGGCCATATCCAGAGTAAATATTTCGGGGGTCAAACTTTCTTTCGGTGGGGGGTGGGGGGGAGCCAAACATTTGATCACCTCTTCTAGCCTTACTGTGTTGTGAAGGGACATTTTAGAGCTTTTTACAAGCTTTTGAAAGATAAAGAAACGATATAGACCCACTAAACACTGTCTTTCATTATTAAAAAACTGGGAGGGGGTGCAAGGCCCCTGTTGGGCCCCCCTTCTGCCCTTGCACACATAAAACAAGAAACTAGTTACACAATGATAAATCTTAGTGTTAAATTGGTGCTTGAAAAGTAAAAGCTGCTAACAAAGCACAGAATCCCAGATACTTGACTCCAAAAGACAGCAATCCTTCAAAATCCATTCAGTGGATTTTTGGGATTTTTAGGGATTTTGATTGAGGAAGACGAAGTGCAGCCATTATTTATACTGCACATATTGGACTTGGCTTGGAATTACAAACATTGTGACAGTTGCTTGATACAGACAACAGTAGTTTGGAGGATTCAGGAAAGTTTCTGGCAAAAAGAACTAAGCAGCTACGGTTCTAGGAAATTCTCTTGCTTAACAAATATTTATGCAGGATAACATCCACTTCATGAAAAAATACACTTCAGGAATTCCATTTGAGAGGGGCATAGAAAAAAATAGCAAGTCAAGCTCAACACAGACCTCTAATGGCCTTACACTATGTGTTCTAGGTTCGAATCCTAACCAGCCAAACAAGCCGACTGAGATTTAATGCAGTTCCTACCTGACTGAATGGATTTCATTTTTTTAAAATCTGAATTTCTTCCACCTTTAAGCATTTTCTTTACTGTCCTCTCTCTGCACGTCTCTTCAGAATCATGATCCACAATGCCATGAAAACTTTACAAGGAATTCTTGGGTTTCGTTACCGGAAAGTTGGTTGTTCATTGTAATTGTTTGAAGTCAGCCAATAAATGTGGGAATGAAATGACATCTTAAAAATCCAGATTGACCGAATAAAGTTTGCTTGCTTCTTAAGTATCAAGTAAGTGCACTTTCACAAAGAAAAAAAAAGAGGTTTATGAAACAGGAGAAAAGAGCTGCGCAAAAACAGCCCATAAACTAGCACAGAAATATTTACTCAATATTATGCAGACTCCATAAAGACTAATGAAAGCCATGTTTGATTCAATATTTCGTTCTTTATTCAGAACATCTTCAGGAAAAATTCCTGAAAAATCCCTGAAGATGTTCTGAATAAAGAACGAAATATTGAATCAAACATGGCTTTCATTAGTCTTTATGGAGTCTGCATAATATTGAGTTATCTGAATATTATCAGTGGATCACCTACTGGTTTTTGAAATATTTACAATGGGTTTTTGAAATATTTACAATGGAAGACTTTTCCAACTGTGATAGAAGAAACATTGGCAACATACCAGTAAGCCCAATGAGGGCACCCACAGACCCAGTCCCACACCCACCAACTCAACACTAACACAGGTTTAATTGGATTAAATGTCTTTAGCATATATTACAAAGACACAAAACCACAAGTATCACGGAGGAGATTGGGAAAAATTCAAATATGCACAAAGTAATCGGGGGGGGGGGTTGAGGGCTCCACAGCAAATAAATGTGTTTGCCTACATGTACCAACACCCCTTACAATACCCATTTCTTGTTCTCAATATCAACTTTAAGCCTGAAATCAGGACAAATCTAATGAAAAAATCCTGAAACCAGGA